CTACTACTACTACTACTACTACTACTACTACTACTACTACTACTACTCAGCTTTAGCTCGAGTCAGCTCTAGCTTTAGTTAGCTCTAACTCCAGTCAGCTGTAGCTCTGGTCAGCTCTTCAACATGCATTTTGGAAGGAAGTCTCGTACAAAATGCGCTTCGAAGCGACAGTGCCCAGGAGAGACATAGAATGTCAGCTCGATTTGGCACCGCAGAACAGCACAGCTGCAGCCCTCAACCCTACCAGTGGAGTCCTAAGGCCCTAAGGTGTTTGTTATTTTGACCTGGGCTCGTGGGTTCCAATAGAAAATGCTTGTAAGGCACTATGTGCTGGATGGACGAAGATTACATAGGCAGAGTTGCGCGACAAGCAAGACGAGTGCACTCTTTGCGATTGGCTTTCAGCACGATTAGGAAATCACTTGTGTCCTACAAAAGGCAGTGGGACCTAGCATGCCGGCAGAACTGAGCCTCCCGACGAAGTCGACTGGCCAAGATCTTGAAGTGTACGTCCATGAAAATGTGTGTGTGCGCTCTGTGTGAGTGCATATGGTGGGGGCACTCAGTTGGAAGGGATATTGGAAATCAAAACGAGCAGTTTTTAGAGGTCGAGCGGAAACATCATAAACGAGCAAACTTTGCTCAAACGAGCGGAAAGGATCTCGAGCACTTATAAGTGCTCTTGTGAAGATCTAGGGATTAATTACTCAATGCAAGAAAGTACACAACCACATTGTTGCTGGTAAATAACTGAGCCATGCAATTGCCATCTCTTGGAGGTCGTCAAGGTAGATAGAGAAAAGTAGAATTCTGATCTGATCCTTGGCACCATTTACAGGAGCCCATGGCGTTGATATTTCAAGATTATCAGCAAGATTGGGCTGAGTCAGAAGACCATCGCAATGAGGAGAAGTACCAAGAACTTCTTCTCCAACTAGCAGGTTTTTTGCAAAAGGCGCCTTCAGATCTACTGGGAACCGATCTTTTACTTTGCACTCGTCCTTTCTTATTCTGCTGGTTGCTTCGCGAACTGTGGCCTAATGGATTTCAACAAGTGCCAATGCTGCACTACTACAGCGGTCCCCTGCTCTTCGACACGACACCATCACAGAAGCAACCTGTCTTGGAGGCGTTTCGGCAAACTGTGCTGACGTCTGAGCTGGATTTGGTGGTGCTTCGCCGCAAGTTGGCTGTCTTCCATGAACTTACAAGGGAAGTTCATACGCGAAGTTCATACTAGTTTGCAGAGTAGTCTTCCAAGCTCCAGACCTTTGTCACTCCAGATGTGTGGAGGAAGCAGTAGCTGTTCGTGACACATTTGTTCAAAGCCTGTCATTCTTCCACGGATGCATATCTTTCACATATGTTAGGCCAGGAAAGCTTCCCAAAACCCAGACGCAGATGCTCTCAGACTCTCAACTCCTTGTCTCGTACCTTGTGAAAGTACTGACGTTTTTTGTTTCAGCCCGGGTGGGCCTCCTGCCTCCTTAATTAATTAGGCGCCTACTGCTGTTGATTAAGTAAGGGACAAACTTGGACGCTACTACTCGCAATAGGAAGCTCCCAGTATAACTGGATGCAGGATAGCTCACGCTTCTTCAAGGAAGCTCCCTCGCCTGACGCCTGAGGACGGGTGGGAGCCTCCTTGAAGAAGCGCAGGCACTAATGATTTGGTTCCTAGAAACTTCCCCTGACTTTCACCCTGCGAAGTAAGACACCTCATCGGCAAGGTTTAAAGTGCAGCTGTTGATCGGCATGGAGGAAGTCAACAAGCTTGAAACAAAACCTATACTGGGGTACATTAGGGTACGTTTCTCTCCAAATTCTCTCAATCTCACATGCCCTTTGGGCGTCGCTTGGTCAACGTTCAGCACGACCTCAACCTATCATCGACACCTTACCCTAAGTTCCCATCTACTTCGTACTCCATACATCTACGTATACATCTATATAACTATATATATATTATATATGTATACACCTACTTATACCAGCTTGCACTCCTGCCATTTTGTGCCTATCATTTTCCAAAAGCTGTTCAGGTCTCCTCCTCCGTCTTGCAGAGCGCCTGGATTTTGTCCATGTCCGGCCTGGCGGTGCCCCACGTTCGTCCACACGCCACGCAACTTCGTGGCCTCTACCAGCCACGGGAGGCAAGCGGGTCAGGAGATGAGAGTAGGTCCGCTGTTCATCGGTCCATCACCAAGTCAGAATCGAGGAACTTGGCATCTTGGATCATACATGCTTACATACTGGTTCTTCTTAATTGATCATACTGGCTCGGATGGTGTGACAAATTGCTGTGGCAATATCCGCCAAAATCAGCATGTTGGCTCGGCCAGGCTGACCACAGACTTCGAGCTTTGGTCCTGCGGAGCACCTGGGCCACTCGGCTCCGCATGGGCGCCATGGGCGCCTCGTTGGGAAGCCAAATCAGAGAACCTGAGAGCGAATGATCAGTGAATGACTTGTGAATCATCTCCGGACATGGGAAATTTGATGGAAACGGCCTCCAGGGCTCATGACTCTTGGCAAGGGATGCCAGAATAGGTCCCACTACACTGTGGAGATATGTACCCAAGTGAAAATTCCATGACTTGGAGGCAGCACGAGGAAGTATGATTTCCCGGCTGACAATCTAAGAACTAAAGCCCGTGTCAGGAAAGGAAATCCGGCAGCGCCAAGCCAGAGTTTGAGGCGTAAGTGACACCGTCAGCCTTGTTTCAGCAGGGTTGGCTTGTAGTAGTTGGCATTGCTGCGCGACTCAGGTCAACTCCATCATGGCCCAGGCCTTTCGGAATCTCTTGGCTGTGATGCAAGAAGGTTCATTCGTTGATTTGGAATGGCTGGTCTCTGGCAAGTTCCTCTCGTACGAAGAGATTGCCAAGTTCCATGCAGCTGTTTTCTTTCCGGAGCAGCCTGACAAACTCACGTGCCCGGTCAGCACCCGGTAATCTGTCATAGCTTCGGGCACCAGTGCTCCGCCCGTCAAAAGGGCCGAAGGCCGAAGCATTCTTCGTTAGACCATGTGAGACCCACGATTGCCTTTGAGTTTTCACTTCATGAAAGTAATTCAATCTTCTTCAGTGGACATCATCCATGCCAATCAGAGGTTCTGGGAGCAATACGAGATGGCAATGCCACTTTGGCTTCCCAGCGCGGAGCTTTGGAGCAAGATCCATGCCATCGGCGAGTTTCGCTACTCGGTCTTTGCGCAGCGCTGGTTTGCACAACTGACCAGGGAGAACCCGGGAGAAGAGCATTGCCTGCCGCTGCCTGTCTTCTTCCACACGGATGTGCCCAAGCATGGATAACATGGCATGTTTCCAGAGTTTCTTGATGTCCATTGGAATGTAACTTCAACCAACCCTCCCGTTTCAATGGGCGACAATTCCAGGATACATGGAATCAACAAAAAAACAGTTTGGACTCCGAAAACCGGACCAAACCCGGTGTCCCGAACTCCCGGTGACTGGTTCGCTCTCTCGTCTCAGAACTTCTCCCAAATCCACCTGAACTCTCCTTTGGCTCCAGCCTTTTGGCTCCTTGGCGAAGCAACGAGGCGAACGAAACGAAACGAACTCCGAACGAGCCCTTGGACCTTTGGGGTTCAGGCAGTTTTGGTTCGGGCCTTGACCCACCTGGAAGGAGGATGGTGCAGGTTTTTGGACAGCACAGCTGGTTTTTGGTCGGAGAACATCGTAGAACCTTTATTATATATATATTCTATAGTGAAGATGAAAAGAAGCAGCATGCCCTGAAAGGTTGAATTTGGAGGCTGCAAGTGACCCCATTTCTCCCCATGCACCTCGAGCCGCATTGAGGTTTCAGTTGACGGATTACGCTTTGTTCCCTCACCTACAGCACTTTAGCTCAGCGGTGAGTCTCATTCATCAACTGTTGACAGCGGATTTCATGGCGCTGCATGCGTCTATGGTCCGATCCTCAGACCCACAGACAAAGATTAATTCGACACATGGGTCGCGTCGCATGGGTCGCGTCGCACGAGGTGGTTGCTTTCCGCAGAGGTCCGATTTGGACACCCAAAATCGACTGAATGATACGAAATGGCTATTTATTGTGGGTAGTGTTAGCATCCACGATTAGCGGTTTTTTTTCTCCATCTCAAAGAGGAAGCTCCTCACTATTAGAGGTAGTCCCATCTATTCTCTCAAACCCGTCTCTTCTCAACATGTTCGACTCTTCTTGGTTGATCTGCTTTATTTTCAGGTGGTGCAACTTCCAAACTTGCATCCGAAAGATCCAAAGTCTTTTCCGCAAAGGTTTGAAGGTTAGGTCTCATCCCTCGAACAGGTCTCATCCACCTAGGCCAGCTTCAACGACGAGACCTGGCGCCGCTCTGCCAGCTTTTACCGTGCCGCCCTGGCAGCACTGCGTGCGACAGATGGATCCCACGGCGGCCGCCACGGCCTCACGGTGCAGTTTCAGCCGCAGCCCACGGACGCCGAGTGGCGGGAGATTTGCGGAAAAGGAGTTCCACACAAATCGAAGCCGGACGGATGTCGGATGGAGGTTTGGTGCACATCAGACTTTTCAAGTCCGTCACTGGAATCTGCAAATCACGGTGCTTCATTTGTAGCCAAGAGTTGAAGCTAAATGCCACTGTTTTGCCTCGCCACCTAGATGTGCTACGGAGGATGATTTGATGTGCCAAATCGGCCCGATCGATCATGCGCCAGGGAGCCGAGAATGATCCACCAGAATGTGCAAAGATCACGGATTTTTGGACCAACCATCACGAGTGCGCACGGAGCCCCACGTTTCCAGATTTGGTGTTCAGATGTGGAACCAGCCTGGCACCTGCTTGAGGTATCTAGAGAATTCTATATATAGAGATATTGGTTCTGCGCGGAATTTTAGCCAAGGACTCGAACACCTTGGGGAGGTTTTTTGTGCTATGCGACATTGCACAGATACTCTTCCAATCATGTTGATCGTTTGGGGTTGAGAATGACATGAGGTCCGGCCGGTGGTGAAGGTGGAGGACCATCACTTTGGTCAGGAGAGGGCGGTGCGTCGGAAAACCCGAGAGCGGAGGCATGTCGAGAGCGGGGTGCGACATAATTCGACTGCTGACCTCGCAAAACAGGTAAGATTCTTAGTAGCAAGAAGCTATTAGGTCGGAGGCCATCGCTAGTAGGTTGGAGCCCATCGCTACTAGTACCAATCACGCGGCAGGGCACACAATGAGGAGACTGTAGACTCGCTTACTCCGCTTACGATGTTATGATTTCTCAATGTCACCGAGTCACCATCCCGTTCCATGTTTGGGGGGTTCGTTCTTGACTCAATTATTTTGCCTTGTATGCTTCTCATCAGGTGCCGAAGAAGTTTCTGGTTCTCTGTGACGCTGACGCTCGCTCTCATTGAATGGTCTGGGAAGGCAACGGATCGTTGACCAACTCCGGAAGATTGTGAGCTGCAGAAAAAGATCGAACATGACAAGCGATGAAAAGCGATGGGATCCATAGATTCACCGTGAGCAAATCTATGAAAAACTGTAGGACCTTCACGGACACAAATGCGACGGCCGCAGAAGGTCCTACAGATTCAATGTCCCTGCGGATCCCTGCGGTGAGTCTTCTCTGCCAGGACTGTTGGGAGCGCTGTCAGATTGGTGGGGATTGCGCATGGTGCGGAGGAGGTCAAGCATGCTGCCTGTACCTGAGTCTCGATGGTTGCAGTACATTCTTTGTTGGAGCATGGGCTCATCAGGTTTGATCAGATCAAACACACTGAAAGACCTGCCAACCAGGACAGGTTGACCATTGTTTCTGGATTTCATGAATGAGGAAATCTCGGGTCAGCTTCGCAGCGATAGCAGCTCTCCTAGGCCGAAAGAACAGTACCTTGGACCCTCCAGAGTGTCACGGGGTCGTTGATTGGCCCACCGATCGCAACTTGGCACAGAAGTGCTAAGTGAGGTCCATGTCAGCAGCTCCCCACTTGGAGAAGCTTTGAAGAACCCTCGCTCTTCTGCATCCTTGCTATGAAAGCTTCGCTGATATCTGCTATCCTACCCGACAGCCCCAAAAAAAAGTTTCTTTATTCAGATTCCGCCGTTGCTTAGGACATCACACTTGTGTGACACCGATGAATGATGTGCCCGTGAAGCATGAGGGACAGGACCGGGGATGAATTGAACAAAGTGGGCAGAGCATGGCAGAGACAAATACTCAAGATATATTAAGGGTTTGTATGAAATTGTTGGCTATAAAATGTTTAAAAGCTGGCATGTGGCCAATACCTTTGCATGTAAAGGTGAGTAAATGTTCTGTTTGTGTGTGTGTGCATATCCTGCCTCCAGGCTGCATTCATGAGTGAGAAATATTACTGCCATTGTGCTACAAACACCTTCAAGAGTTTCCAGTGTCATTCTTTACTGCTATGCCACGCTAGTTGCGGTGGAGCCGCGAAATCGCTGCCAGGACTGCTGGGAGTTTTGTGAGGGCAAGGGTAACTGCAATTGGCACCTTGGTTATCCAGTGATTCAGACCATACACCTGAGCGAAAAGTGTTCTTCGGGGTGTAGTGCGTTTGTTGTTCACAATTTTTAGGTGCATTGTTGATTGAATTCAATGCTGCCTGGGTAAATATTCCATGTTTTCCTTCTTGACTTCTTCGCTTGGGGCACAAGCAACCTGCGAGCCCGTTTTGTGTTGCACGCGGTTCGCACGACGAGGTGTGGACTGGGCAATGCATGCTGCCGCTATGGAGATGAGTTTACGCCGCCGGAATGCCGAGCAGTGATCTACTACTCTTCAAAGGAGTACCTTGGAGCTAGGGCCTAGGGACCAGCAAAAACGTTGCAGAGTTGACAATGGCCAGCCATCAGATTGAGTGTATACTACGGGGCACTTCTGAACCTGTGGGTGAAATCACTTTTGAGTCTCACAAGCCTTACGAGCTGCAAGAAGGCCTATGGGAAACTGCCAACGTGGAACTGAGAAATTGAAGGCCCATGGTATGTTGACATGAAAATCACAGAAAGTTGAGGATCCTTCCACTACAAACATCAGACTTTCCGAATATTTCAGATCTTGATTGAACAGTAGGAATGAAATTGATGAGTTCATCAGCAAATCCCACATAAGGCAGAGAGAGAGAGAGAGCTGAATGAGCACGGGGGTAAAGCACGAACTTATGTTGCTCCCTCCGCAGCCTTCTGAAAAGTTGAAGCCCTGTCTCATCCCTTGTGTGATGGCTGAAGACTACGCGTCAAAACCGCGTGAAGCGCGCCGCTTCTCCGCGATCTTAGTGGCCATCATTTTCATACAGACCGTTTTGGTGGAATGTTGCCTTATTTTGTGGCCAGCTCTTCCATTGCTACTAATTCCCAGACCTGAAGCCCGAAAGGTGTTTGCCAAAGTCGCAGGCTGGGGACAAGCAGCATGGTTGGGCTTGGCAGTGACGTGCTTGCGATTCATTGCAGGTGTACGCATCTACATCCACACCCGAGGTGTCTCTCTTGCGGAGCTGCAGAAGATTCACACCAGTGTGCTGATGATTAGTAATCATCCATCCAGGATTGATTGGATGTTTCACTGGGCCTTAGCCATCGCTCTGGGGCGGTTGCCAGACCTAAAGATCGTTTTGAAGGATACCTTGCGAGTTGCTCCGGGCTTTGGCTGGGCCATGCAATGCAATGCCTACCCCTTCGTGTGTCGTAAGGATCGGAACGCGGATCTGGAAACCTTGCGAAGGACCAGCTTTCTGGGGGATCCACTGGCGATGCTTTTGTTCCCAGAAGGAACTGATTTGAGTGATTCAAATTTGCAAAAGAGCCATGCACATGCGGAGAAAGAAGGGTTGAGCAAGTACATGCAGGCGGGGAGTGCCGTTTTGTGTGCTTGGGAGTGCGGTGGTTCGGTCAGTGAAAAAAGGGGCTTCTAGATACCTGATTTGGCTTGCCCTATAGGACATTATAGGACCTAATGAGCTCGTTGGAGGATTCTTTCACAGCTGGCTGCAGGTGCTTCATCCACGCACAGCTGGCTTCGAGACTGCTTGGTCCTCCATGACCGAGGCTGCCAAGACCACAAAGGCTGAAGAAGTTCCGGTGCTTTTGGATCTCACTGTGGCCTATATTGACCATGTGCCTGGGGAGCTGCCCAACGAAGTGAAATTCTTTGGAAGAGGTCCCTGGGCAGAAATGTGTAAAGCTGTGCTAGATGACTGGGTGAAAGAGGAAGAGACTATACCTGGAGTGCTTCGGGGTTGCCACGTTCTTTTTGACCGTTTGTTTGCCTTCCCTGCTTTTCAATCTGGTTGCATGTTTCGCGCCGTTGGACGTTTTCCGAAAAGAGCGCTGAAGCCCGTGACCGCTGCTGGTCACCAGGCGAGTGTTGCCAAGAAGTGCACTTTCTGGTTCAGCGTCCTGGAACAGTGGACAGTGCAAGTGCACTTTGCACAAAACTTTGGAAGGAGAAAGAAGAGACCCTCTCAAAGTTTTATGCACCATGTCAGAAAGATGGCAAGCGAAGTGGCAGTGGAAAGCTACCAGCAACTTGGATCAGACTTACTCCTTGCGAACGAGAAAATATCATGTGAGAAGCCCATCAGTTGGGGGTCCTTCCTGGCAGGGGTGCTGATGCCGACGATGGCAGGTACAGAACTACAATTTGCCAACGATGTACATGAGACATCATAAGACTGTAAGACCATGTAAGATCTATGTATCAATTGTTCTTGTATTGTAGTGGCCTACGAACTCATGATGACATGAGCTACGAAACATGTGTTGAGCGAACATCTGCAACTAAGTGTATTCTCCCACATCTGCAGGGCTAAGACACCGTTTCGTTCGAGCTCGACACCGAACTCCTCGAGCCCAGGATCGGTCAGCCCTGGGTGCCTCACACACCGTGCTGTGGGAGGAAGCTCCTGGAGCTCAGGGACGGATGCTGGGAAGTTTGCTGGTGGCCTTCATTTGTGAAGCCATTGCTTTCTACTTGCTTTGTCACTTGGAGTGGATGAGTTATATAATTGCATTGTTGTTTTTGCAACTCGTTCCAGTTCCAGTACTTCTTTTTCCGGGCAAGTGCTTCCGCCTTAGTCACAGCAGAACTCTGTTTTACTGACTGGTGCTTTGAAACATTGAGCCTGTGAGACGGGAAGGTTGTTGGGCATTGTTGGGATGAGGTACATGGCAAGCTATCAGTTGTCAAGTGTGCAATGAAAGTTCACTGAAGGGGGTAGGTAGAAAGACAAGCATCAAGTCTTGTTTGGATTGGTTTGTGAGTGGAAACGGCGAGTAACTTAGCAAAACCCTTGTAGATGGAGTCCTATTTATATAGATGTTCTGATGGTAAAAGGTCTAGGTTGCCATTGCCGTAGTAGTAGTCGTAGTAGTAGTAGTAGTTGTTGTTGTTGCGCTGAGGATAGAACAAGTACTCGCTCAAATCAGTGCAGGCAACAGTCCATGCGGTCCTGTGTTTGTTCTTGTTTAAACGGATTCTCGCTTGAGTTGACCTTGTCCAGCACAACACACGAGTTGTGTGGTTGTGTTTGGACCAGAATACCCTTGTGTGGCCACCAGGCAAGTTGCCATGGATCCTGACCTTTGGACTTTTCGCTGCTGCATGTGCCAGCTTCGTCATCATTCAGAAGCTTGCTGGCGGTATTGACAAGGTCATCTTGACTCATGCTGACCGATATGGCGGCCTCTCATCACCCAAGCAAGACTGATACCAGTCTGATACCCAGGGCGCTCAACTCGGATCAGCTCAGACGGATTAGTTCCAGCTGCCGAAAAATGGTGAGTCTTGCCGCACTGAGCAGTTGTCATGATCTCTTAGGTGTTTCCATGACACGGTCTGTAGGATACATGGCGACATAGGGATTGAAAACACCCAGTACATGGGTCTTCTTGTGATCCCCAAGCCTTGTCGCACAAAAACATTCATGAAAGACACAACACAAATCAGCACAAGATGTGCTCCCCTACTGTAACAATCTGTCGATCGCATACTTTGACAAGACTTGACGTACATGGCTCTCGCAGTACTTCCAGAGATTCAGTTCCAATGGAGGTACCGTGCACAAGACCACATTCAGCTAAACACCTAGCTATGGAGCAATCTCGACAAGGATGGTTCCAAGCTTTGGAAAGTCTACTGTAGTTCGCTAAGTGGCTGAAGCGCTGTGAGGGAAATTCGCGGGGAGGAAGAGTTTGTACTCCCACCTGCTCCAATTGCAGAAGTGGTAGAAGAGCTTGGTCATAAAGGTAGGAACATCGATTTGTTGGTGATTGATTGTGATGGATGCGACTTGGACCAACACCGCCTGTGGTTTCATAAAGACCTTTCTGCGCGGCAGTTGCTGATCCGGATGAGATGGCCTCACGATGTTGCTGGTTCGAACCACTCTGTCGAAGATATGGAATGATATCGCTTTCCTTCAGCGTCAGTCATCACTGCAGCCAAGGCATCACGTTTGCGTGAAGCCGAGCTTTCCTCGACCCATGACCTTGCCGGGACGCCCCAGGCCAGGTCTAAGATCATTATTTTTGCAAAGAAGCGTTGCGGGAGGCGCTGCAAGTCATAGAGTGCTTTTTATCCAGGTCACAATGATGTTTGCCAACATAGTTCTTAGGTAATTAGCAGAGGGAGTTGCAGGGGTCTACTCTTCACAAAGCTAATACGTGGACTTTTCCTTGCAGATATCAACTGTAGATGAAGGGTCCAGAAGATGGTTGTGGACATTCATTTGGGACCTGGACCTTAAGGCAGCTGAAGCCCCTGACAAACATAACACGTCAACACCTGCCTTTTGATCATGCTCCGTTCACCTGTCACATTGAGTGCCTTGAACGTGCATGTCGTGGCTTGTTTGCAATCCTTTAACTTTAGGATTTTACATATTTGGGTCATGCATAAGTAGGTGTTGTGTGTTTGTCCATTTCCCTCGGGAATACTCAACTGATGTTAAAACTATATATATATATGTATAAAGGGATGTCCTTCTCCCTCTTTGCGACACGGATCGGCTCGCTCTCTCTCTCTCTCTCTCCCTCCCTCCCCGGCTCTCTCTCTCCAGGGTCAAAGAGAAGGAATGCCGTCCTGGCTTGGTCATGGGACCTTTCGGCTGTTTGCCAGCGAGTAAGCCGCAGCTGGTGACCTTTTACGCCTACAGGCGCAGCTGGTGACCTTTCGACGCGCGGCTGCGGGGAGCGGAGGCACGCCTAAGCGGCGTGTGTAGGTGTAGTAGATGGGGTGAAGGAACAAATCGTGGTGTTAACGATGGGGTCGTACAGTGGGAGTTTCCGCTTTAATTAACCATAGGCTAGAAACAGCTAGAAACGAGATTGTGTGCCTGCAACATCCTGCAACTCATGTTGCACAAATATGACGTCACACGCGAGTACCAGCATGTACCAGCTGCTCCCTGGAGGCTGGGCGATGGGTCCTGGACCAATGCCAATCTTGGGAGCATAGGCTCCAAGATGCCGAAAGCGAGATAGAGATAGAGAGAGACGAAGAAAAAAACACAATCCCAGTGTTTCTGATTCATGTGAGCAGTAGTTCCCATGTGCGCGGGTGTTTTTTTGAGCCCGTGGTGTGGGGATGGATGTTGCCTGACCTCACAAATGTGCGTGTGTTTGGAACAGGACAAGATCCGTTGACCAAAGCCAATCATGGACAAAGCCAACTCATTGTTTAATCCAACTGGTGAAATCCAGAGTGCATACTTTGATGGTACAAGACTTTTACAGCGTTCGCGCTTTGTCCGAAGATACTACTGGGATAGTGTATAGTGTGTGTTTTTCTTTAAACCTCATCAGCCTCCCCAAAGGGAAGAGTGACTTGACTTCATGGGAAGCAGCCTGCCGGTACGTCCTTTGTGCGAACGCGCCGATCACCGATACGTCCAACATCCTTTGGACGCGCAGGTGCAGTGATGTACTCACTCCACACGAAGATCTTGGGATGTCCACGATATCATGGGATTGACAGGAGAAGAGTTATTTTCCGATGACATGGTATTCGGCCAGAGATGTGGAATCAAAGGGTTGCTGGATATTGCTGGTCTTTTTTCCCGAATGCGTAGCGAAGGGTTCTCGTTTAACTCTTGGGGGTCTGGGGGTAGAGCCTTGTTCGCGACCCGTTGCTTCTATGTTCGCAACCGTTCGCAACCGTCCGCAGCCGTCTGCAACCGTTCGCAACCGTCCGCAACCGTTCGCAACCGTCCGCAACCGTTCGCAGTAGAGCGCTAAGGCGCTGCCATTGGGGGAAGCTTTTGCAAGTGACTTTTCATGGATGTGTCACGTGTCAGTTTGCGCCGCTATTCCATTGTGATTTGCATGAAAATGAGATGTCGCGCAAGAAACGTGATGCGTTTCGCTGCACAGGCGCAGCGTTTTGTGAGATCGGCAGATTGCTGCGCAGTTCCATTGGGATTAGCGTTTGGAGAGTCGTGTTTTTGGGGTGTTGGATGTGGCCGTGCCATTGGGATTTGCGTTTCAGGGTGTGGCATCGAAGCTCTGTTTTCGTGACAAGTCTCAGCTGAAATGCCGATTTTGGTGGATGGGAGTGTGCTCAGAACGGGTCGAAATCATTGCAAACGTGTGGTGTGGTGCAAATTTTGTTGAAGCTCACATGAGATGACATTGTTACTTTTCGTGGCAGGCGCAGTACTTTGTGCGGGTTTTGAGGTGTGGAAGTGGGATTTTCGTGGCAGGCGCAAGGAACCGTGAGGTTGCGATGTGTGACGGAGGTGACATTTCGTGGCAGGCACAGTACTTTGTGCGCGTTAGACGTGTGGACGCGGAAAGATTCGTGGCAGGCGCAGGGAATCGGGAGGTTGTGAGTTGTGGTAGAGGTGAATGTCGCTGTCGCATTGGGATTGGCGTGTGAGCGGGTGTCGTTTGGAGGGGCTGGACTCGCGAAACTGCTTGGCAGGGCTGCGTGATGTGTGTGCTCCGATGGGTGTTTCCGCTGGACTTTTGGAGGAAGTCTCGTGCGAAACGTTCGTTTTGCAGACTTTGACATGTGAGTTTTTGAGGAAGTCTCGTACGAAACGCTCGTTTGGGGGACTTGACATGTGACTTTTGGAGGAAGTCTCGTACGAAACGCTCGTTTTGGAGACTTGACGTGTGACTTTTGGAGGAAGTCTCATAAGAAACGCTCGTTTTTGAGACTTGACGCGTGACTTTTGGAGGAAGTCTCGTACGAAACGCTCGTCTTGCAGCCTCACAGCGTGACTTTTGGAGGAAGTCTCGTACGAAGAGTGTGCCCTACAGGAGTGTCCCACAAGAGTGTCCTACAAGAGTGTCCCACAAGAGTGTCCTACAAGAGTATCCCACAAGAGTTTCCTACAAGAGTGTCCCACAAGAGTGTCCCACAAGAGTCTCCTACAAGAGTGTCCCACAAGAGTGTCCCACAAGAGTGTCCCGTATGAGTGTCCCACAAGCGTGTCCCACAAGAGTGTCCCGTATGAGTGTCCCACAAGAGTGTCCCACAAGAGTGCCCCACAAGAGTGCCCCGCATGTCCCACAAGAGTGTCCTACAAGAGTGTCCCACAAGAGTGTCCCGTATGAGTGTCCCACAAGCGTGTCCCACAAGAGTGTCCGACAAGAGTGTCCCGTATGAGTGTCCCACAAGCGTGTCCCACAAGAGTGTCCGACAAGAGTGTCCCAAAAGAGTGACCCACAAGAGTGTCCTACAAGAGTGTGCAACAAGAGTGTCTCACAAGAGTGTCCCTTAAGAGTGTCCCACAAGAGTGTCCCACAAGAGTGCCCTACAAGAGTGTCCCACAAGAGTGTCCTACAAGAGTGTCCCACAAGAGTGTCCTACAAGAGTATCCCACAAGGGTTTCCTACAAGAGTGTCCTATAAGAGAGTCCCACAAGAGTGTCCCACAAGAGTGTCCTACAAGAGTGTCCCACAAGAGTGTCCCGCAAGAGTGTCTCACAAGAGTGTCCCGTATGAGTGTCCCACAAGAGTGTCCCGTAACAGTGTCCCGCAAGAGTGTCTCGTCACAAGAGTGTCCCTTAAGAGTGTCCCACAAGAATGTCCCACAAGAGTGTCCCGCAAGAGTGTCCCAAATGAGTTTCCCACAGGAGTGTCCCACAAGAGTGTCCCGCAACAGTGTCCCGCAAGAGTGTCTCACAAGAGTGTCCCTTAAGAGTGTCCCACAAGAGTGTCCCGCAACAGTGTCCCACAAGAGTGTGTCCCACAAGAGTGTCCCACAAGAGTGTCCTACAGGAGTGTCCCACAAGAGTGTCCCACAAGAGTATCCCACAAGAGTGTCCTACAGGAGTGTCCCACAAGAGTGTCCCACAAGAGTTTCCTACAAGAGTGTCCCACAAGAGTGTCCCACAAGAGTGCCCTACAAGAGTGTCCCACAAGAGTGTCCTACAAGAGTGTCCCACAAGAGTGTCCTACAGGAGTATCCCACAAGAGTGTCCTACAAGAGTGCCCCACAAGAGTGTCCTGCAAGAGTCTCCCACAAGAGT